ACAACCACACCCACCCACCCACACAACAACCCCCCCCCCCCCACACACAACACAACACCACAAACCACACACCCCCCCCCCCCCCCACCCACCAAAACCCACCCCCCCACCAACAACACCCACACAACACCACCCACAACCCCCCCAACCCACCAACCACAACACCAACACACACACAACACAACAACACCACCCCCCCACCCCCACACACAAACCACACCAACAACAACACACTCACAACACACAACACACACCACCCCCACCACACACCCCCACACACCACACACACAACCACACACACACACAACACACACACCACAACACAACCCAAAACAAACACAACAACCCACAAACACACACACAACAACACAACACACACAACACACTCAACACACACAACACACACACACACCCAAACACACACAAACACACACACAACAACACAACACCCACAACAACAACCACACAACACACAACAACCCACACAAACACAACCACACAAACACCAACACACACACAACACACACAACACAACACAACACCCCACAACCCACCTCCCACAACACCCAACACACCCCCCACACAACACACCACACCCAAACCCAAAATCCCCACAACCCCCAAACCCACACCCACCCACACAACCCCCCCAACAAACAAAACAACAACAACCCACCCCCCCCCCCCCCCCCAAACCCCAACCCACCACCACACACCACAACCCCCCCCACACACACACCACCCACCCACCCACCTACAAACCCACCCACCACAACCACCCACACACACAACACAACACCACACACACACACACACAACACCCACAACCACACACCAACACAACACAACCACAACAACACACACCACAACACACACAAACAACACCCCAACCCCCCACCCCCCCCACAACCCAACACAACACACCCCACCACACCCCCCCCCCCAACCACCCCCCCCCCCCCCCACACCAAACCAACACACACACACCCACCACACCACACACCCACACCACCACACAACCCAACCCCCCCCCCCCCCACCACCCCCACCCCCCCCCCACAACACACCCCACACACCACCACACAACCACACCCAACCCCCCCCCCCCCCACCCACACCTACACCCCACACCCCAACACACCACACAAACAAACACAAACACCACAACACACAAACACACACACAACACACACACAACACACACACAAACACACACAAAACACACACAACAAACACACACAACACACAACCCCACACCCACACCACAACACAACCAACACAACCCACACACACCACACCCAACACACCCACACACACAACACACCACCCCCCCCCACCACCCACACACCCCCCCACACACCCAACCACACAACCCACAACAACACACCAACACCACACAACCACACACAAAACACACACAAACACCACAACCACACACACAAACATACACAACACACCACAACATACACACACACACACAACATACACAACACAAACACAACACACACACAACATACACGTCTCAACACACACACAACATAACAAACACAAACACACAACAACACAAAATACACAAAACACACACAACATACACCATACACACACACAACCTACACAACACACACACAACAACACACAAAACACACACAACACACACACAAAATACACAACCACACACACACACACACACAACCACTCACACAACATACACAACACACACACAACATACACAACCACAACACAACACACACACAACATACACAACAACACACAACATACACAAACACTACACACAACACACACAACACACACACAACATACACAACACACACACAAACACACACACAACACACACAACATACACAAACACAACACCAACACACACAACACAACACCAACATACACAACACAATACACATCACACACAACCACACAAATACACAAACACACAAACACAAACAACAACACACACAACACACACACCAAACATACACAACACACACACAACACCACAACAACACACACAACCAACAACAACACACACAACACACAAACAACACACACACAAACACCACACAACACAACAACACCACACACACTCACACACAACACACACACAACACACACAACCACACAACACACACACAACACAACAACACACACACAACACACACACTAAACACACACAAACACAAACAACACAACACAACACACACAACACACACACAACACCACACAACACAACACACCACACCACCACAACACACACTCAAACCACACAACACACCCACAACACACAAACACAACACACACACAAACACTCAACACCCACAACTTTTCACAGGCAGGAGGGAAAAAAAAAAACAATAAAAAATGTGGTTCTCAAGATTTGTTTTGTGTTAAGGGGACAATGACAAGGAAGGTAAATGACTTGCCATTACTTACTCAGTAATGAGAGAGAGAGAGAGAGAGAATGAGAGAGAGAGTGAGTGAGAGACTTAGAGACGACGAGAGAGAGAGGAGTGAGAGAGAGAGAGAGAGAGAGAGAAAGGTTGGTAAGGGTGAGGTAAATATTTCAAAATTTCTCGAGAGCATTTTTAGCGAGCCTCTGCAATGTATGTGTAAGTACCAGTAGTGGTGGTGAATGGTGGTTGTAGCGTGGTGATGGTGGTGGGCAAGGGTGATGGTGGTGGAGGGTGGTGATGGTGGTAGTAGGTGGTGATGGTGGTGGTAGATGGGTGATGGTTGGTGGTAGAACTGGGTGATGGTGGTGGTAGGTGGTGATGGTGGTGGTAGGTGATGGTGGTGCCAGGTGGTGATGGTGGTTGTAGGTGAGTGATGTGGTGGCAGGTGAAGGTTGGTTGGAGGTGGTGATGGTGGGATTGTAGGTGGGGATGGTGGTGGTAGATGGTGATGGTGGTTGTAGATGGTGTGGTGGTGGTAGGTGGTGATCGGTGGTGGCAGGTGGATGGTGTGTGGCAGTGGTGCGTGAATGGTGGTTTGTAGGCTGGTGATGGTGGTGGTAGATGGTGATGGTGTGGGGTAGTGGTGATGGTGGTTGGTAGTGAACGGGGGATGGTGGTGGCAGGTGTGGTGGTGGCAGGTTGATGATGGTGGTTGTACGGTGGTGATGGTGGGGTAGATGGTGATGGGTGGTGGTAGTTGGTGATGGTGGTGGTAGGTGTGTGATGGTGGTGAGAGGTGTGATGGTGGTGGCTAGTTGGTGATGGTGGTGGTAGGTGGTGATGGTGGTGGTAGGTGGTGATGGTGGTGGTTAGATGGTGATGGTGGTGGTAGTGGTGAGGTGGTGGTAGGTGGTTGTGGTGGAGGCAGGTGGTGATGGTGGTGGTAGGTGGTGTGGTGGTGGTAGGGTGGTGATGGTGGTGGTAGATGGTGATGGTGGTGGTAGATGGTGATGGTGGTGGTAGGTGGTGATGGTGGTGGTAGGTGGTGATGGTGGTAGGTGGTGATGGTGGTGTAGGAGGTGATAGGTGGTGGTAGGTGGTGATGGTGGTGTGTAGGTGGGATGGTTGGTGGTAGTGTGGTGATGGTGGTGCGCAGGTCGATGGTTGGTGGCAGGTTGATGGTGGTGGTAGGTGGTGATGGGGGTGGTAGGGTTGGTGATGGGTGGTGGTAGGTGGTTGATGGTGGTGGTATAGGTGGTGATGGTGGTGGTAGGTTGTGATGGTGGTGGTAGGTGGTGATGGTGGTGGGTAGGTGGTGATGGTGGTTGCGTTTGTTTTGGGGTGATGGTGGTGGCTGGTGGTGATGGTAGGTGGCTGGTGCATGGTTCGGTGGTAGGTGGTGATGGTGGTGGTAGATGGTGATGGTGTTGGTAGATGGTGTGGTGGTGGTAGATGGTGATCGGTGGTGGTTTAAGGTGTTGTGGGTGGTAGGCAGGTGGTGATGGTGGGTGGTAGGTGGTTGATGGTGGTGGTAGGTGGTGATGGTGGTGGTAGATGGTGATGGTGGTGGTCAGATGGTGATGGTGGTGGTAGATGGTGAATGATGGTGGTGGGTAGGTGGTGAGGTGGTGGCAAGTTGGTGCATGGTGGTGGTAGGTAGTGATGGTGTGTAGGTGGTGATGGTGCGTGGTAGATGGTGA